AACATAAAAACTATATCTTTGTCAATATCTATTTTCTTAAAACATAAATCATCAATAAGACGACCTGACCTTTTAACTTAAATAAATTCGTGTTTATTTTATTCATAGTTTATAACTTATACCCTCTATTAACAAATAAGCTTTGTTATTCTAATGATGTAGTGTTTAGGCTTAACACTGCATTTTCTCTAAGATAATGAAATATTTATTAACATAGACATAGTATAATAAATTATTATTAAAAATGATAATATTGTATTGTATATTTTACTATGTGATGATAATGAACGGTATATTACCTTCCAGAAACACGACATTTAATTTAATTTTTTTGTTATATTTTTTTGTGTTAGTTTTTTTCAAAACTTCATAATCTTTTTCTTCATTACTATCTGCAAGTTCTTCAGTACTGGAGAGCTGAGTTTTTTCATTAACATTTTTAGATCTAGTATTGTATTTTTGTTTTAGCAGCATCTGTTTCACAAAAAAATAATAATAATAAAATAATAAAATTAATAATGCTTTGAGAAAAGAAAAAGAAGTGTGGGAAAAAGAAACTTGAGAAATATTTTCAGCTGTCCTTATTTATATATCTTTCATTTGATCACTAAAAGTATATTAAATTATATTATTGTAAAAGTATAATTTTGCACTTAAATTCGTTATACTGAAAGTTTGAAATATACATCAGTAAAGGTATTTTAATCAATTTCAATCAAACATTAATTATTACTTACAACATTATTATATCACTGATTTTTCCTTAAAATTGATTTGATTTTTTAATATATTATGATCATTAATAATTGTTAAAACTAAATATATATATATAGCCAGCAAACAACGAATTTCTTTTAAAATAATTTTTATCATCACTAAATTTCAATTAAATACGATCATTTAATTTTCGATTTATTGCTAAATAAATTGAAATGACTTACAAGTATCAATGTTGTAAACATACCTTTGCGTTTCCTTATACATTGAAATGGCATATTTCTGCCAAACACCAATTTATTATTAATGAAAATGAAGATGAAATGGAAACTGAATCGATCATACCAAATGAAGAACCTGACCTTTGGGATAAAGATTTTATAATAGATTATTCTGAGGTAATAAGCTAATCGATTATTATTATATAAAGATTAATTTAGTAATAAGACAGAATTAATTTAATATTTATTAAACAATAAATAGAATAAAAGAACTGAATCGATAATATTAGAAGAAGAAACTGCCCTATAAAAAATTTGCATACGTTTTTTCATTATTATAAATAAGTTTTGTATACATTTTTTAAAATTCTGTATT